GGCAGGCGAGTGATCTCAGACAGATAGCAGTGAGGGTGTTCCTGTGTGTTATTAGCACGTTGGCATGAGCTTAATAAATGATTCAGCTGTATCCATTTGCAGCAGTAGCAGTGTGCTTCCTGTCTACACAGCCTGGCTGTTGTTCCTGTCACTTCTCCAGCATCGAGCATGTTCAAAACGAGAACAGTCGATAACAACGTTGCTCTAGTTGGACTAGCTTTCTCTGAGTCTCGATGTTTTCCAGATCTGGGACAACAAACTGAAGCTAAATAGCAAAGTAGGTTAAAGATTCGTCGTCCCCGTGAGTGCCTTCACCTGTTTAACTTCTCCCTGCAGGTGGCGCAGCTGGAGAGTCTGCTCCAGCCGCGTGTGCGTGTGCTGCACGTTGACCTCCACCTCCTGCTGCTTCTCGTGCAGGAACTCCAGCAGCTCCTGAACCTGAGAGGCCAAGTCCAAGTCCTTCTCTCCTGTCAGCTCGATTCCTGTGACAAACACACACGTTCTGCTTCTGTCATGTCGACGAATTAGTGTAAAGGAAGTTGTGCGCTAAAGGCAGTGGATAAAAAAGTCAGATTCAAGTTCAGACCTCACGGTTCACTCCTGCGCTCCTCCTCCTCCTTACCTGAAGCCTGGACCTCCATGATGTACTGGTGCAGATCTTGACCCTGCTGCATCACCTCATAGGTCATGTTGTTCATGGCTGCTTTCCTCTCTGCGTGCCGCTTCAGCCGCTGTTCTGCCAGACCGATGTCCTCCGAGCCGGCGGACGAGGCACCGCCTCCCCCGCTGCTGCCGCTGCTGCTAGCACCCGAGCGGCCGGTGTCGTTCAGCTGACGAGACAGATCCTCGTTCCAAGCGTCTAGTTCTGCCGTGACCTGCCAGAGCGGGAAGAGTGAGCAATCGTAAAGATTCAAGTGAACAACAGACCTGGTCCAGCAGCTGATTTGAGCCGACTTGTGCTGACAAAACCTCAAAATTAGCAAAATATTTTTTTCTATTCTGCTCGGTGAAAGAAAGCGCATTAATTGGCGTTAACACATCACGTCTAGTTTTGCGTGTCTGAGGGTAACTGCCTGACCTCTATCGTGTACTGCTCAAAGATTCGAAGCTG